ACGTCCTTTTCGAACCTTCGTGAATTGTCGGGAGACTACTAGATTGGGGGTAGTCTGGTATATATAAGACGGTCACAACGTGACGGGAGAGTATGTGTGATTGAACTGAGTATTGTTGAAGTCGAGCACGTGAGACGTTCGTTGAGAATTATAGCGTTTGTTATAGCGCGGCTGTTGAAATTAAGTGTATCGCAAAGTTATATTCAGAAAGAATAAACCAGTTTTATTTAAGAAAGGACTTGTGTCGCTAAAGTTTCGTCGGAACGAATTTACGGAAATTAACTAACGAACGGAGGCGTAACAATATTTTCAAATATTTTGTTTTTAAGCAATATGAACATATAGTCTAATGAAAAGTGTTATGTTAATAAACTTAGACGCATCATATTCATGTAGAGATATTTTTGCAAATATTTTGAAATGTTTTAGTATTAAAAAAGTTGTAGAATAAATATAATTTTATAAAATAGTGTTAACAATTTAGTGCAGTTTTTATACGTATAGAACATTTAAACATTTTACTAGTGAAGAAATATTTTCTCACTGTTATTGGCAAATTCATTTAAAAACTAGTATGAAATGGAACGTTATCTGTTTTCTACCGTCTGAAGAAGCTGCATCAATTTCTATTTTCAGACTCTTCTGAAAAGGGGTACTAATTGTTGATTTAATGTAGTTTTTAATTTTGGTCTTCAGACCTTTATTAATAATTAAATAATTTTGAAAAGACGGACTAACTGCTTATTTTGACAGTATGATATGGAATAAAGATTTAATACTCTCGAAAAGGATATTCATACATTAATTAATAGGCCATTAACTGTTGCATGTTAAAACCACATTAAAGAAGGTATTAACTGTGAACTTAATGTCTTTTTTATCTTTAAGTTCGGAAGGTACTATGTAACAAAGGTTGCCTGAATAAAGTTGGAGGTATGAAAGAAGTCACGTTACCCTTTACTGAGACTTATGACGAATTTTGTCAAACTAGTTGGTACTAGTCTGATTCAAATAATGAGGAATAATCAGTCCAGGTGACATTTTAATGAGTAACTAGTTAGATTATATGTTTTATTAGAAGTCCTTATTTCAGTGTTAGTCAATATGAGAACAACAACATATCATCAAATATAATTCAATCAACTAACAAAATGTAAATCTATGGACCACAGATTTTTCTCACATCTGCTCGTTTATAGAGATCAACACCCCCCAATTTTCAACCACCTGAGGTATCGTGTTAAATTATAGACTCCATGTAGTTGCATAATAATGGATGGGGCAGCTACCACAGGGCTAAAACCCTCTCAAAATTGGTATATAAATATTGGAATTGAGGGGAATATTTTAAAACACTGAAATGTTTTAATAGAGAGGGCAACAAAACTTTTTGCCCCCTGGCCCTTTAACACCTAGTTATCATTGAATATATAAGGTACCTTTCAGGTTGAAAATATCAACATCTATATGTTTGAATGCTCAAAGTGTGTGTAAAACAACATTTTATAATACAACAAAGTATGTCCTATTTAACTGTTAGATAAAAAGATTTCTTGGAATCTCCTATTATATTTAAATTTCTAGTGTTTATGATAACAGTAAAGATTTATATTTCTGAAACTGGAGCTGCAAAATTATTCGTAAAGACTTTACCTTCAGCAAGCAATGAAATATATTCATAGTTATTAAATCTTTCTCGGTGTTACCACACATACATACTTATAATTTTCTTATTAGATACGTCCCATGTGCGTGTAAAATCCGTGGAATTAATAATCAAGTTTTGAAATGTGCTTTAGAAACTTAACTACTAATTAAGTGAAGCTGTAAACTGCAAAGTCATTATTAGCTTACATACTTTAGTGTAGAGGCTGTTCAACCTTTTTTTCTTCAAAGTACTCCATACATTTAAGCCTTTGGGACATATGTAAGAATTATGTCTAATTTTTTATTAGCTCTGTAATTTTCAGTCCTTTGTCTTTTGAGATGATGCGTGAGAAGTATGTTTAATGTTAAAATGGGCTTATCAGAAGTGATCTTTCAAATATTCTTGGGAAATTTTTTTTTGTGAACCCGCAAATGTTAAATATTTTTAGCGTATGTTATGTTATGGTCTTATCAATAAATGCTATTTCGAGAACCAAAATAAAAGAACAAAGTGGTGTGAAAGAAATAAAGTATTTTATTTCAAACTACCTAGAAATAAGACATGATTTAAAATGAAACCTTTTACAGATCAAAATTTTTGAGCTAGTGCTAAAAGCAGTGTAGGCGATGTACCATAACAAACACAGGACATGCCATTATAGTGAAAATACAGATTACAAACTGGTTGAACAAAATAACACTTCAACGAATCATCCTGTATTAGTTTATACACAGTATGGATGTTCTAAAAACAATGATGAATTATATATTCGTAATAGTTATGTAAGCCCAGGATCTAAACAATGGCTTAATACTTTTCTTATAAAATTTAACACATTTCATGCAGATAAAAAACAAAACAAGCATGCCTCTCCTGTAAACCTAGACACTGCAATTCTTGGATTATACAGAAAACTAACCAATATTTTCTATTAAACAAAGAAAATTGAAAAGTGACCAGATCTCACATTGGGAACACTTAAGGATAGAAAATTACCAAAATGGATAATAACGAGATAATTTAGGATAAAAGAATATTAATTCGAATTTAATTTGTCGATATATTTCTTCTTCACACTAAGACGATCATTATACAACAAAACATACATTTTCAAATTGGAAATTCACGATATATTAAACTTCTGATGAATAAATCTACTAATTTCTATTTAATGAAGTAGGCGGGTCTTTTCAGTTCAACACAGCAATGCCTGACGTTTATGGTTAGATAAAAGTAATATCAAACACGGTCAGTTAACGAATTGGTGTCAGGTCATCATGAGATGTAAATATATATACATACATATTTTTCGCCTATGGTGATGATCATGATACATCATTCAAAAAACAAGTTACGCTTGTACGAGAACCAGTTTGTCCCGGACCTCACCGAGGTAGTAAACTTTAATATTGGCTCTTGTATGTCTACAACTGTATGAAGTTTGTTGTGCTATAATAGTGTTGAAAATATTTTCCAAAATAACCTATCACGTCACAAATTATCCTAACATAATTTCATTCAAATGAATTTCTTAACTACGTGATATCGAAAGATAATTGTTCTTATGTAACAAAATAGCTCACATGAAACAAAAGGATTAATTAGTACTTAATTTTTTACTATCACCGCAAAATCTTGAACGTTGACCTGATTACTTTAAAAGATAGAAACACACTTTAGGATTCTGGAAATTTTCTTATCAATGTTTGAGACGGATATTAGCAAAATTATTAAAATCACAATTTAAAAAACAAGATAAAGATTTATCTGAAAGAAAAAGAGGAAAATATATTAAAAAAGCACTTAAACTAATTTATTTTATTTTCTGAATAATATACTATTTTTTACCCCATCTAATCATGATTTTTTTGAAACGGCTTTTCAATGTTTTTGCGCTTTGGTTTATGAAGTGTTATCATTTAAATTAAAAAATTTAATTAGCAAATTTCATAAACACATAAGCTTAACGGAAAATTTGTTAAATTTACCGCGTTTAAAATGCATAACAGAAAATAGGTATAACTAATTCCCAAATTATTCTAACTAGGGTTTGTTGTTTTATTGTCTGAGAAGACACTTCAAATATTTAGTTTATCATGTGTTGTGATTAAAAGTTCGCAAGTTTATTTCCAAAACAATCTCATATCTGCATGAGAAGTAAGATTTGTAGTCTTAAATATCAAACAAATTCTACTTAATTTTTTCCATATAATAAAATACATTTTTCAGTGACAAATTGAAATTCGGTGTTTTTAAAACATCAAATAAAGTTCTACCTTGAACGTGCTTTTGTATAAATGGTATAACTTTACATTGTTTTGTTACAGTTTTGTTCGCGCGATCATGTATTTGTTGGCGCGTACGTCTATAATAAAAATTTTGTGTTTTTACATAATTATCTCGTCAGGGCTGTGAAGAGGTAAATAATCCTTTGTACGCCTTTGATATAATACAGATAATTGTGAAATATTTTTATGGTTTACAAAACGGGAAACAGAATATTTATGAACTAAATAAATGAAATCACCTTTCTAATTTTATTCACTGCTTACGACCACCAAAAGGTTAACACTCAAAATAAAATATAAATAAATAAATGTGACAAAAAACATGTTTGAAATCAACTTTTAAATGTCCAAATTTAAAAAGAAAAACAGAATATATGAATGAAGCAAGTAAGTTGTTATCGAAGAGTGTGTCCCCCGTTAGGTCAGCGATAACTCTCTCTTTCTGCATCTGGCCATTTATGGACTTATAATGCTAAAATACGGGGTTCGATTCCCGGCGGTGGACAGAGCGCATATAACCTATTGCGTACTTTTGCACTAAACAATCACAACTACTGACGAGTGTAATGTGAGGTACAGTTGTGAGGACGTAGGTCGTGCGTATTAATACACAGCATAAAGAAAAATCTGAGATGTTACGTGTACTATACAAATCTGTCCTCAAAATGATGACGCAATAGAATTAAACAAATTTATCAAATAAAAAGAACACACATTTATAATTCACATGAGTACCCAGCTGTTGGTCATAGCGATGATCATACCTTTGAAACAAAACGGTCTAGAAATTAATATTCTTGAATATCGAAGTCAGTAGGTTTCATTAATATCTCAATGTATATAATTAAACATCTCTAATGCTAATTACAAATATATTACATAATTTACAAGATGTTGGAGTTATTGAAACATGGAAGATTAGAATAAACATACTGCCTATTGAGAGATATTATAGTACTTAAGAAAGGCTATACTGTATACATATACTGTTTCGACCCTAGTTAATAACTCACTTCAGTAATGAGAATCATAAACACATTCATTGTTACTTTCTCTATACTCTATAGTATTTCCGAGACCATAATTCAAAAACTGTCCACAAAATCATAAAACATACAGCAAGTTATTATTTTAAGTACATATTTAACGTATGCGTTACTTCACTGATACTTCTAGAAGTAACGTCAAAAAGTTTAATCTCATAATAGATTACATGAATTCAATTCATGATGCTGATATAATCTTTGAAGCAAAAACTTTTGGCTCACTTATCACGCTTAGCAGAAACACAGTTAATCATCTAAGCATTCACTATTTATAAAAGTGTGTCTTTATTATATGAACTGCAACCTCATAAAGCAATATATTAATCGTTCTCTTTAGTAAGGTCACACATAAGCTTCATGGCTGACAATTCGATGGCATATTTTCTGATAAAAGTTTCTCCAGGAACTACACGTTTTTCCTGACCATATCCAGAATCCCGAAGTGATACCCACAACTAACGTCATTAAGTACTTTATCATGAAAACGGCAAAGTCTGGCTTGGGCCAGTACCCTTGTGTTCTAAACAAATCTTTAGGGGGACAAGGTATACTGTACATCGGTTTTTGGCAATTTTCTTGTTGCCAAGACAACATCCAAGATTCAAAGTAAGTCTGTTCATAAAAATAGCAGGCTAGGACTATGACGGCTGGTACAGTGTAGAGCACTGAGAAGATGCCAATACGGATCATTAATTTTTCAAGCTTATCTGTCTTCGTTCCATCATGCTTCATGACTGTGCGGATACGACACAAGGAGACAAATCCCGCCAGTAAAAATACTGTTCCCAATCCTAAGTAGAAAAACAGCGGCGCCAAGACAAACCCTCTGAGTGCTTCGACATCCCAAAGCCCAACATAGCAAACTCCACTTAAAATGTCTCCTTCCACTTTTGCCATAGCAAGAACAGTGATGGTCTTTGTGGCGGGAACTGTCCATGCTATTACATGAAAATAATGTGAATGTTTCTCAATGGCTTCATGACCCCACTTGAGGCCTGCAGATAGAAACCAGGTCAGAGTCAGAATTACCCACCAAATGGAGCTGGCCATACTAAAGAAATACAACATCATAAAAAGGATTGTACAACTTTCTTTTTTATTGCCTTGAGTGATCGTTCTAACCATATTCACTCCAGCCTTTATCTCTGGTGGATCGAAAGGCTTATTACAAGCTACTTCATCCCCCAAAAGAAACCCGACAACGTACGTCAATGCTACCATAAAGTAACAAAGGGATAAACAGATAATAGGCCTCTCGGGGTAACGGAATCTCTTCATGTCAACTATAAATGTAAGAACTGTAAAAAGTGTAGAAACCATGCACAAAATCGCCCATGTGCCTATCCATATCCGAGAGAAGGTTCGTTCCTCTTGTCTAAAAAACATACCATAACAAGGCAATCCACAATTTTTTTCTTCTTTCTTTCCAATACGAACTACATAGTCAAGTCCTTTGGGGACTCGAAATTCTGTTGGGCATATAAACTCCTTACCTGAGGTTGGTTTTCTCCCGGAATCAGCGTGAGGAAATGGTGAAGAAGTAGCGGTACGGCTGGACTTTTCTGTGTCGTTCTGACCTACACAGAGTTCGGGTCCACCAGCTTCTGGAAACTTTTCACATTCCAAAGTTTCGGGCCAGCGAAATCCAAACTTATTCATCAGACCTTCACAGCCATTCCTTGCTGATTGGCACAAAGAACGACAAGGGGGAAGAGGGTGAGGCAAGATGGTGCAAACGGGAGTGTACATAGAACATAGGAAGAACTGTAAATCAGGACTGCACTTTACCTTCACTAAAGGGAAGAACTGGTGAACTTCGAGACCAGCATCTTCTTGTTTCTGATGGTTAAGCAGATTTGGCATCATGGTTTGGTTATATTCAATATCTTTACACAACGGCACTGTAATAGGTTCACACAGGTTATGCTGCGGAATAGGATTCAGGTCGTGTTCGGAAACTCGTGTGCTAAGCACTTGAGCCTGAACTTGGCGCCTTCCATGTTGGAACGCTGTGCTGAGAAACAGAGGTAATAGCGTTATCACCGATGCACGAGTCATGACGTAAAACTGTATTAACCCTATATTACTAACTAGCAGACCGTTGCTTCTATGTTTAGCTCATACTGCAATAAATGTAGTCACCAGTTCTTTCTAAAAACGGCAAAACCTTGTAGGACTTACGGTAACACGAAATATTAAAGTCACTGGCGCCTAACGCTTCATGAACGAAGACTTGTTGCCCACGTTTCGTCCGGTTCGCGTGGCACAATGACGCACACTGACTGATCTATTAGGTATAGACAAACAGGCATACGTCCATTCGCTGTAGCTGAGCGTCGCGATTGGCCAGTTCTACAGATCTATGCGTAGCCAGTTGTTCGAAAATTTCAGAGGAATGTATACTCAAGGTACATTGAACTTCATTTACGTACGTCAAATCTCACTTTATGTCGATTGTCACGCAGTTCCATTGACCGTCAATATTCTACCTACACTTAGTGTATTAATCTTCAGTTTCTAATTGCTATAATGTCCTGAAGCAACAGACTTTATGCTCACCATATGCCGTAGCAAACACACTGACCAATAAAAGGAAATGCTTTTAATTCAAACTGAAAAGCCTCACAGTGGCACAGCGGTATGTCTGCGGACTTACAACGCGATAAACCGGGTTTCGATACCCGTGATGGGCAGAGCACAGATAGCTCATTGTATAGCTTTGTGCTTAACTTCAAGTAATCAAACCGAAATATTAAAAGTACTAGAAAAAAAATGAAGCAGAATATGAACATCAAATTTTAAATAAACACTGCACTCAATTTTATGCCAGTCCACTCTAAACTATAAAGCGGCCAGAAGGAGGTGTAGAATGAGAAGGTTTATTTTTACCACAAGTGTTAGAAAGTCCGTTATCACCGTATGGTGCGTGGGTGGGTCAGCGGCAAGCTTAGGAGTTTACAGCGCTAAAATTCAAGTTAGATTCCCTGCAGTGTACTTTCTTTGTACTTAGAAAACAATATCACCATCTTCGAACCAGCTTCATCTAAAGTAGTGCTTTTATCTATATATTTAGAAATGTGAGTAATCAATAATCTATCTATGCTTAGCATTATATATAATATAAAATGATATATATATATATATATATAATTGTTAATAGGCGATTAAATCAGCACTATAAAACAATAATGAATTAAATATCGCATTACCGTTATCGATCCAGGTTGTCAACTTATTGTCATAACGGATATTAGTATGTATACACACACACACACACACATATATATATTTATCAATATATTTCACAGTTATCTGAATTACCTCAAAGGCTTAACGATTACACAGCCTGCACAGCCGTGACAAAACATTTGTGTAAAATTCAACATTTTTATCATAGATGTACGAGTAAAAAAAATATACATAATCCTGGCAGACAAAACTGTAACAAAACAATGTAAAATTATATTATTTATAGAAAAGTATAAATGGTATCATTTTAAAGCATAAAAATGTCAATGGTCATAACATCCGAAAGCATTCGATATACCCCGTCTAGTTTGTTTGGAATTAAGCAAAGCAACACAATGGTACACAAAGGGCTATCTGTGCTCTGCCCACCACGGGTATAGAAACGCGGTTTCTAGCAGTATAAGTCCGCAGACATACCGCTGTGCCACTAGAGGGCAAAAATAAAGCAAGCAAGCTACAGATTCAATAAAGGGTTAGGATTTAAGTACTAAAACCCACAACGTCCCAGATCCCACTACCGCTCACGGCCTATGTTCGTTTGTGGCCATGATAGTTACCCTTACAGACATAGAAGTAGAAATCTGATAACATTAACCAACCTCGATTTCTATACAAAATTATCATCTAATCCCCACCCTTATTTGCTAGTTCTAATAATAAATGATATTGTAATTTTTAGATACGATGTTACAAACTATAAGCCTAACTGTACTGTTCTGATACTCCTACCTCCTCCCTTAACAATAATTTAATCTGTCAAGTAAACCTAGATATACTGATCCAGATCCAGTTTCCTGGAGTCAGCCTTTTCGGTACGGAAAGTTTTATCATAAATACATCTAGCTTTTACATTAAGATCTTATATTCTAGAGTCTTCTAAGAAATTGATATTTCAAGTTAGAAGTAATTGTTTGTAAAATATATATATATATATATTTTCTAAAAGTTATAAAATTTATTATAAAATAATTAAATACTTTACTAATTTCAAAGTTTCTGTAGCCATTAAATAATATCTTTTAATAACTTTGCATTATATTTGAAGGCAAAATGGCTAAATCTTGAAGAAAAAGTAATTGCATTTGACGTTTGTTTTATATTGATGTCTATAATAATGTAAAAGAGAAAACTAGGGAAAGATAAACAATATTTAAGATGAATTAACTTTACCCCAATAATAATACCAATAACATTATTAAAGATGTTATAAAATGTTTTGTATTAAATTATAGAAAAATAAAATATTTATCATATATTTCTTAAGTTTTGAATTTTTAAATATATACTTTAAAGATTTTATTTTGTATTTAATTAAGTTTAGAATAAACTGAGGCATATTTCATAATCGTAATACTAGAAAAGAAAGTAAATATAGAAAAATCGTTGATTATTATAGGGTTCAATCTTAAGGGTATGATGATATTTTTTGCTTTCAACTACATAAATGTTCAAAATAAAATCTTTTCTAGAAAAGAATTACAACCAATTATTAGTTTCAGATATAATAAACCAGTGTTGTTGTTTTTTTTAAATTATAAGCAATTTATTGAAAGTCTTAATACATACGGTATTGATATATTTACTTTGCAAATGTAATATTAATTATTTTGCATATCGCTTTCATACGAGAGAGTGTGTGGGGGGGGGGATGCAGTAGCACAGCGGTATATCTACTGATTTACAATTCTAGAAACCGGGTTTCAATACGCGTGGTGGGCAGAGTACAGATAGCCCAAACAAACAAATCTTTTCATGAGCATATTATTCCAAGTGATCAAAAATATTGATCTTATAAATATCCTAAAGAAAGGAACTAAATTCAGAATATTAAATAAAAAAGAACGAAATATTGATGAAAATATTATAAAAATTGGTAAAAAATGCTTCTATTCCATAGCGTTCTTACTTGAATGGAAAATATTTATTACAAAAACGTAAGAAAGAAATTAAATTACTCAAACTTAAAATAAAGTCAAACACAGTCAGTAATTATTCCAATTGATATAGGTAACTGTAACTTTGGATTTATGTAATAAAAGAAATTAATACTACAAAAACGTTGACTAAATTTACACCTGGAAAAAATACAATTACTAACAAATTATTGAAATCTATTAAAAATGTAATATACCTGTTGATTATAAATATTTTAATTTAACTTTCTTATACGCAATTCCTAAATTACATAAAACTCCCAGTTGAGCTCATATTTATTACTAATTCATTAAATACTATAACCAAACCTGTAGCTATCATATTAAATAAAATGTACTTTCTCAAGTAAAATTAAAGTCTCTTAACGTGCCAAAACAATTTTTTGATAATAAAGAACAATACACAAGTACTGGAATGCTTAGAATCTTTAAAAGTGTTTAATTTAACCTTCTCTATTTTGATTGTTATTAAACATAAAGTTGCACGAAAGGTTATCTGTGCTCTACCTTCCCACACTAGTATCGAAACCCTGTTTTAATTGTATAACTCTGCACACATACCGCTGTGCCAGTGGGGATCCTCTGTTTCGAAATCTGATTTCACTATTGAATTTTAAAAATATAATAAAAAAAGCCTTCAATGATTTATTAGATGAATTTATAGATGAAAACATAGTTATTCCTAAATATACATTTTCAAATATTAAATGTAAACATTCGTTAATTTTTGTAAATATATTAACTATATAACCTTCAATAATAAAATATTTAAACAGGTAATTGCCATCCCTATTAGGGCTGGTTTCTCTCCAAATATGGCTAACTTTATTTTTATGAAAATTGATTTAAGAACAAAGTAACAAAATCTGGGCCCGGCATGGCCAGGTGCTTAGGATGCTCGACTCGCAATCTGCGGGTCGCGGGTTCGAATTCCCGACCCACCAAACATGCTCGCCCTTTCAGCCGTGGGGGCATTATAATGTGACGGTCAATCCCACTATTCGTTGGTAAAAGAGTAGCCCAAGAGTTGGCGATGGGTGGTGATGACTAGCTGTTTTCCCTCTAGTCTTACACTGCTAAATTAGGGACGGCTAGCGCAGATAGCCCTCGTGTAGCTTTGCGCGAAATTCAAAAACAAACAAACAAGACCTGACAAGTATGTGTTTACTTCCGTTATATTGATCATTTAAAATCAATTAATTATCCAGAATTTAACCTTACTGAAATTTATTCTGAAGTTGAATTAAAACAAATTAATAATTTAATTTACAAAGCACACTTTTATAATTTTGAAATTAACATTTTAGAAAATAAGATGCTGTTGGACACATATAATAAAAGAAGAGAATTTCCCATTTTGGGACTGCTCTCCTTAACTAATGTGGTACCATATGTACTGTTAGAAGATATAAAAATCTCACAAATTAAAAATTTGTATAACAATATGTAACAAAGGTACTTTCTTCACGTATAATGTAAAGTTATTATAAGATCAACATATTTTAATGGATACAGTAATTTTGAAATCAGGAAAGTCTTTAAATTATTATATAATAAGTTTAATAACTTATTAAAAAGTAAATATTTTACAAACAATTTGAACGCAATTATTCTTACTTGAAATATTATTTTTTTAGAGGATGCTAGTATATAAAATATTAACATAAAACTAGCTGTATTTATAATAAAAGTTTCAATATATCTGGGTCGGAAAGGCTGACTTCAGGCAACTGGGCTTAGCTCAGTTTCCTTAAAAATGATTGGGAACCGACCTTTGTCTATATTTAACCACTAAAACTGTTATTTTAAAATTTAAAAGTTACTATTTATTTTTAAAATGACGACTAGTGTAACATTTCTTTTCATCTATATTTTTTATCTGTAATGTAGCGCCATCTCTTGAAAAGACTTGGAACCTAATTTTACACCCCTCCACCTATATTTAGCAAATTTCAAGAGAATTAGCGCTTGTGGTTATCTACCAAAAAAAAAAGAAAAAAGGAGGCAATGTCAAATGGACACGGACAGCAGCTGAGATTAATTTAAAAAAAAAATCATATTATCTCTGATGGAGGT